AGTAGAGTGCAGCCCGCCACCCTGCGAAGAAAGTTCATTTCTGCCGCTTGTATTCATGATCTCATTCTTTTGGTCATTATCCACAGCTCATGACCATAGGTGAGGGTCAGGATTTAGGCCGACCGGTAAACAGAGAGCATTGCCTTATGGCTAATGTTTATATCCCGCAATTCTATTCAGCCAAACAGAGTAAATTCGGCATAGATGGACGTTGGTATGAAATGTTGACTTTTCTGCCTGTTTGGTAGCCTCCATTTCTTCACCCCTACTGGGGAAGTGGTTGTGATTGCGTTTTCAAAACAGGCTAAATTCACACAGTGTAGGTCTGGCAGAAATATACAAAGACGCAATGTTTTAAGGGACCTGCGGCTTTGTGTCTGCCCTTCACAGACTCTGTACCAAATCTGTGTGTGAGCACAGCCTCTTTCACTGCCAGCTTGACTCATTTGTTCATTAACGCGGCAGAGTACACTCGGCTTACGTCACAGCTGGTATTGAAATGTTGGTATCTGTGAATTTTTATGAGTACGAATAAATGAGCACAGTATCGGCCCGATACCAATATCAGCATCAATGCATTCTTAGCTGGGATGTCAGAGTCAAGCCCTAAATACTCTCTCTCTCCTGGCCTGTTGTAAGATCTGCGCTCAGGCTGGACTCTCTGGCTCCCACAGGCACCGGCTCTGCTATAGCCTCCCTGAAATGCCACCACTGTGAGCATGTCACTGTGTCCTGTCCACCCGCATTAGCTAACTCACCTCGCTTCAGGCAAAGTGTGTGTGTGTATGTGTGAGTGAGGCTGAAGAAAGACAACAAGGTCTGGTTCATCTTCTACACCTTCCTTGCGCCATCCCTATATAATTACAATAGGGAACTGGGGGTATTTAGGTCAGTGTGTGCTCAAGGGCAAAATCTGATAGATCTGAAAGTTACAATTAGAAGACTGAACATGAGCGTTCCTCACATGTCTGTTTTCAAGACGCATCTCCTGAGGCCTTCAGAAGAATAACGGCGTTTCTTTAGAGCGAGGAAAAGAGAAAAACATGGACTGCAAAGCGCTCACAAAAAAATTTGCTGTAGTCTCCCCTCCATTAAACCTGTCATGTCCCAGATTCTGTAGAAGACTGTGAACTTAATTGGCATTCTCATGAAATGCGATTTGATTTTTCTTTGTTAAAGCACTTTTTGCTTTGTGCTTACAGAACATTCCTCCATCTTTCATCCTTCCTTCAACACAAAAACAATTAAAATGATCAGTGCTACATACGTAATAAGGCAGCTGTGGAAAAGATGTAATGAAAAACCTAGTTTTAGAAGCGAATACCCTTTTTACATTAATAAAGCCTTGAAACCTCAATGGCTCTGTCAGTCACCATGGAGCTTAGAGTATGTTAAATATTTTTGGCTCAGATTTTTTTTTTTGTTTGTTTTTTTAGTGTTCTTTTTTTTTCTTTTAGAAGTATATATGCACCAAAGAAGTCCTCAGTGCTCACTGGGATGTCCATAGTGGTTAAAATAAAGTTAAAAAAAAAAATTCTGCTAAAATGGGTGAAATAAGTTACCCTGATCTTATTTGCATAGAACTTCTTTGCTGGATACAAATGTTGATTTGTAATTCAGGTGTAAAACTGTAGTCTTCAGAGGTTATATTGAACGTCAGTAAAGTTGTATCACCACTGACCATAACACTATTGACAAATTGACTAAAATCTGAAATGTTCTAAAATATGGGCCTCTACCACTTTATTTTCAGTCAGGTTGTATGTAGAAAATGACAGATATTGTGTTTGTGCAGTTATTTTATTTCAGTTTTAAAATTGCTTAATGTTTAATGAGTAACACCACTGACAAAATCTTTTTGTGATGCATTAAACTGTGTATTCTAGCCAAATTGAACAGAAATATAAAAAGATTTCACCAGCTGTGGACTCATCAGATATGTTTTTTTAAATACCATTATATTTTTTGGTAACACCACTGACAAAAAATCTTGTATAAGGGTTCTTATAAATATGAAATTGTATTTATATTTTTAAAAATACATTTAAAAGATGAAATCAAAATTGTTGTTGTTTCAATAAAATCTATGAAGTCAGTGCTGTTACATTCTGTTTATCATGCACAACATGAATAAAAATCCCTAAAATAAAAACTTAAATTAAAAAAATGGTTAATTATATTATAATCAATAATTAGAAGTATTTGTGATTACCATTATACTTATCCTGGTTAATTTAAGAATAGAACAGAGAATACACACTGTAAAAAAATGGCTCACCAGATCAACCTAAAAAAAAAAAACTTCATATGGTAACAAGTTAACTAATTTTATTCAACCTAAATAAATACGTTGAATAAACGATTCTTTAGATCAAAGTAATTTTGGAAACCCTTTACTGTAGGGTGCTGTTCATAATGCAATATGACACCTACATAAGCTTGCTTTATGACAGATGATGCCTGTTATAATAAGTATTTATAAACAGTTATGTAGGGTTATGTCAGTTGTAATGACAACCTTATGTAGGTGTCATGTAGCCTTATGAACAGCACCCTACAGTAATTTCTTGTTGTGACATGAAGTATTTTTTAGGCTGATCTGGCGAACCATTTTTTACAGTGCAGAGACATCAAGTTTCTGTAGTTTATTCTTACTTTGAGCTCACTATCATGGCTTCAAAATTGTGGGACACTGTTTGCCACTGCAATGGTAGAATGACCCACATAATGTTGTCTTACCCTGACTTGCTTTCATTCCTAATATGTTGTGCATTTTCAATCTTATAAGTACTTTTACTTTACTAGGTAGCTTATTAGTAGAACTGTTTTTTGACGGAGGCCTTCTGCTCTGTCAGATAGTGTCAGGGTGGCTTGCTCCTCAGTCTCTAATCCATAATGTAATGCTTGGTTAAAGCAGTGGCCTCAGGGTGCTTTGCTTCGTCTATAACCAGTTACCCTTTGATTTGTCCCACTGATTCCCAGGGCACAGATAATATGCTTCAGCTAAGGGAAGCATGCCCTCTACGTTGGGCTGACTCAGGGCTCTCTCTTGCCCTAACTGTGCGGAAAGCCATTGGAATTCTATAATTCTAATTTTAGGTTTGGGAGTTGCTGACAAGGACATCGGAGATAGAGCACTCCCTCCAGGCTAATTAATCCCACTCAGGATGGCCTCAATCAATGGAGCAATGATTCTTGCCATAATTCACCATATATTAAGTTCAGGCTGAACTCACCGTTTTTTACTGGCTTGGTCTGTGGTTTACGTTTTAGGCCTGCTTCATTTTAGGTCTGTTCAAACCAACCTCTCCCCAACTTGTCAACATGGGAACACCCCATGTTAAGATCCAACAGTGAGTCTTAACATGAGGTTTATGGATTTGTGTCACGAAGTGTTTGAGAAGCCATGAATGTGCTTAGGAATCATGACTGGAAATGCTATGAAGTGCACATTTGTTCTTTTGGATTTCAGTGCTTAGTATTGATAACCCATGCCAGAAACCTGTCCAAACACTTCCATGATCTTATTTGCATAAAAATGTCACCAGCACTTTGCGGGAAAGTGTTTATTCCTCACTAGGCCTGGGCTGTGTCTGAAAATAATTAGCATGTTATCTGCCTGTAGAACACAGCACTTTAGATCTGCTTTCTGTGCTGTCTTTAGCTTGTTAGTTTTTAGCATTATAGCCAGCAGCTTCCCCTTATGAAGATACTTCAGAATGCTAAACTTGCACAAGTTAGTGAAGTGAGTTCCAAAGCCATTCATACAGCTGAATTCACTCCGGAATTCAGCTGTAGATGCCTGTTGTAAGCCATGAACAGCTTCATATCACATAACCCCTGTGATGCATTAGTTTTACAGGAAATAGCTGTTTTTAAGGATAACCTGATAATACCGTCAAAAACGGTTGTTAATTTACAGCCGCAGTTTGTTTTACAGTAAAGAGACATTTTTTTTTTTTTTGTATGTATCACGGGATAATACTGTTCATTTTGTGTGTATAATGGGATAATACTGATAATTTTGTGTGTATAATGGGATAATACTGATAATTCTAAACTTGCTGACACTTTTTACAGTGTATTTTTCATAATTTTACAACTTATCTGAACCACTGGGACACTTAAGCACTTAAGATGCTTGGCGAGTGCTTGATGATGTTTAATATGTTTATGGTTTACATTTGGAAGCATGATTGTCTTTTATATTGAGTTGCTAGAGCTCATCTGAAACTTAACATTACTGCAAAATCCTACATACACACACATTATCTAAGCCGCTTATCCTTCGGGTTCACGGGGGGTGCTGGAGCGTATCATTCATCGCCAGTGCATCACATGGCAGACACACACACATAGACATACACATTCACACACACACACTCACACATAGGGGCAATTTAGCGCATCCAGTCTTTGGACTGTGGGAGGAACCCACATAGACATAGGGAGAGCATGCAAACTCCACACAGAAAGGACCCTGGATGCCCGGACAGGGAGAAATGTTACATGGCTTCATGTAAATTTCCTTTCTTATAACATGATCAAACCCATTTTTTATACTTTGAGCAATATTTATATTTAGGATTACTTCTTGTCTTGACTGATGCATAGAACCACAGAAAAATATTACTATTAAAATATAAATAATGCTGCAAGCAGTGCTGAAAAGCCCTTAGAATGTGGTTTATTTAACTGAAGTTTTGAAGATTCGTATACAATGCTGTGAAATGATATATTGTTCAGCCCCAGTGTTTACAACTAAATCATATTTTGTTTCAGCTGGGATGCATTGGCTTTTGAGGTTTCCAAAACTGTTTCATTCTGTATTCACCCCAAGTGGATTTAACCAACTGTGAACACCCAATATATCTTGGGGTCCTTTGGGGACGAGGCAGTAAGAATCCAAGTCACACATTTTTGCATCTTTGCTCTCAGACTGTTTGTGTCAGTGAGAGACGTTCTTCCTGGAGGAACATGTAAAAGGGAGCTTGTCTTACCGTTTTTACATATGGGACAGCACTGCTCTGGCTCGTACACTGGATTGACGCACTCTGGGACCGCACAGTCAGCCACCACACAGTGCACCTCGCTGTTGGGTTCACAGCGGCACCACTCGCAGGGAGAGGGCTGGGGACAGACACAAAGCGCTGCATGAGAACATTGAAGGATATTCACAAGTTCAAAATTGCACATTTACATTAAGTAGCGGCTACAGACTCAGGTTTATTTGCCATGAAGATGTTTTTCAAGTAATGACCCTTAATGGCTCCTTAGCTATAGTTTGCCTATGTTGTATGTTTGCAGAATGCAGTGTTTGTTGTTATTTATCACAATGTTGACCCCTGCAATGCATCACAAAAGGCTGCCGCATAATGTTCTATGTAGATTTTGCCTCTAATAAATCATAGTTTCTGGTACGTGCTGTGAGAATGTCTGGCTAGGGCTGGGTTCTGTTCAAAATGTTTCAGTACTGATACCTTGACACAGATTTCTGAACAGTACTTTAGATTAGGGATGCACCAATTTTGGAATTGTAGGCCAATGCTGGATTATGATTTTATATACATATCTACCAATGCCTGTGACGATATATATATAAACATCATAAAATGTAGAAATTGGGACTAGGTCTCCTTGGATGGCAAAAATATAACATTTATTTGTATAGGGTTACAAATGCAGTGAAATCAATAAAATGCAGGTTTTTCAGTGCAGACGCCCAGCATCACCTGGTCATTCTGCTCTTCTGGAGTGTAATAAACATGCCAACAAATAACAGTTTCATGTCAATGTCAACATCTCTCTGACATGAATGTCCAGCAAATATCTGCTGATACCAATAAGATTTTTATATCGTCATGCCTCCCTGAGTTAGATGCCTTCTTTTAAATTACAGACTCAGTATGGGTTTGGCTTAACACCGTAAAATCCCAGGCTTATTACATACTAAGGTCTGTTATTCAGTAACTACAGGGACTTCAATGCAAACTAATGGAGCTATTCTTAGGTTATAGAATTGTGTAATAAAACTTTGGGCTCACCAGGAGGCCCATGCCTTGGTAAAGGGGTTAAGCTAGAAATGAATGAGAGTTGCAGGAAGTGGGCGGATTTGGGTTGATTTGTTGTTTTGTTGATTTTCTAAGTGAAAATAAACTAGCACATCCTCTACAGAGAACTCACTTAAATTTGGCATTTTTCTATACATTTTAGTGCATAATTGATTGGAATAAAATAATTTAAACGGTGCCATAAATTTTGCACAGGCCGGATTTTATGTTTTGTTTTTTTTTTCTTTCAAAATATTTTCAATTCAGTAAATAAATAAACAGTAATTGTGCAGTTAAATCTGCAGAAGTGTGTTCTCTGTAGTAAGATGTGTAACTTACTTTGACTTAGATAGTCAACCCAACATGAAATTTGACCAGAGGGGCACAAACTTTTTTTGTACAGCTGTGCGTTTATTTCAGACAAATCAAGAAGCACCGACATTAATAACATGAATATGGAATGTAATTTAGACAGCCAGTTAGCCCTCTGCATTCTGTTGTAAGTGTTCTTATTGGCTCACTGATGCTAACAAGGCCAACTACTTGCATATTAAAACTTGCTATTGAATGACATGGAATTTTTCAGTCCTCTGTTGTACCAGTTATTCAGCCAGTATCATAAAGTGTTATGTTAAAAACCAGCTCTATTTTTGTTCTGCGAATGTTCTATGAGTGTTCTCGTAAATATAATGGATTGACACGGTCTGACATGATGAAAATACTTCTGTGTAGCCTTGTGCATTACAGCGCTTACATGGAATCAAATCACAAGCTCAATATATGTTCTCAGCATTATTCAGCTCTATAGTGCATGCATATTTCAAGACTTGCAGCTTTTATTCCATCTGAAAAATCGAGGCCATTTAATTTGCCAATACAAAACATTGTGTTTGGCCCAGATGCTATTAAAATCTTGGGCAAGCGTGATCCTCATTGGGTTTCAGAGCTTGTTTACATGTTGCTGTAATAAAACATCTTCCCTTATCAGCCGGTTGATACAAACAAGTCTCTATTGTAGAAGCTGCAACTTTTTCAAATCTGCAAACTGTGCTGTTTACTGGCCGTGTAGCTTATTGATGTATTGTGTGCAATACTCCTGTGTAAAATGCATCTTTTTTTCCTCCACGCTGAGATTCATAAGCTCTCAGCCGTGCACATTTTTGCCTGTCGGCTGCATCTAAACCATAAATGCTCGTTCAGATCCAAGCTTGCTGTCCTAAAGAACACTTGATTCAACAGGCTAAAAGACATGCTGTTGCATGCAGTACTACAGCGAAAGCTATCGCTACAGATCTGTACGTACTCAAGGCTGTGTAAAGGAGTGCAGAAATGGTTAACTGGCTCTATAGGACATGCTGCTACTTCTGCTCCTTCGGTGAGGTCAGACATGGTCATTGTCTGATGACCTTTCCAACATCAATTGTGCATCTGTGCACATCTACATTCTGCCAATTATTGCGAGTGGCACTTGGTGTTTATGCTCAGTGGCCCTGGCAGTTTTCTGGCAGCAGGAGAGGGGGGTTTGAAGGTCACAGGACTGGACTACGGGGGGGAGCTGGGGCCAGTGGGGCCAGGTTGGCGGTTCTGAAAGCCTGGGCTGCTGGTCCACCAGTGGTCATGGCCTTTAATCTCCGCACGCTCTGTAATTGGCACTGTGCGAAGCCCAAGCGCTAATAATCCTCTGTTCACCGTCGATAAGGGCACGCAGTCCAGTGGGACGGGGGCTTGCGAACCCGCCCATGGAAATCGACTAATTGTGCCAGGCTCCTTGCAAAGGCAAAGCAAAGCTAAAGAAGGAGTTGAAAAAAAAGAGCAAGATGGCTATTTTTCTATCCACATGCATGTTATGCTTGGAACACTTAGAGTTCTGCACCCTAAGAACCGAAAGCTTAAACGCTCCACTTTGTAAAGGTCACCAGAGTAAAGTAGTCACTAAAGGGCAGTGCTATGCATATAATAAATGAAGGAAATGAAGTGGCAGACAGTAGGTACAGTAATTCTGATTATCAATCATTAAAAGTGTTCCCTCTGCAGGCAGCGTCTCCATTCAGCTGGGCCAAGAGGTGAACGTTATCTGCTACCGGGAAGCTTCTCAAACAGAACCTGGATCACTCTCATAAGCTTTACTTCTCCCTCAAGGCTTTTTTTTTCCCTTTGCTGTCTGGCCCCGTTGCAAAGACTTTAGCAAATCAGATGGCAGGCTCTTTTAAGACTGTCTATTGAAGAACTGAGCCAAGACTACTTTTTAATACTTAAACTTTCTACTCAAGAGCTCTCAGTTTTACTAAACCGACAGCCTTACAATTGTATAGAAAAGTTGTTGATTCTTAGGTAAAGTAAACACAGCCTATAAATCTAATATACAATTACTTTATATTTGACTAACTTAAAATAATAGAATGAAAATAGTAATTGTGGCATGTGCAAAAGTTGGGACACCCTACGAAATCAGTACTTAGTAACATCCCCTTTAGTAAATATCGCAGCTTGCAAACACTTTTTGTCTCTCTTTCTTGTTTTAGGTATTGTCACTCACTTTTCCTTGCAAAACGCTTCTATTTCTGTAATATTCTTATGCCTTCTTGTCCAAACATGCACAGTATGTAAGATCTGCCCACAGGTTTTCAGTTGTGTCCGGGGTCATTCCTAAATTATTAGCTTGCATTTCTTGAAGTAGTTCATGGTGGATTTTGAGGCAGGTTTTGGATCATTATCTTGTTGTAGAAGCCAGTCTCTCTTCAGCTATAATTTCTTGGCTGTGTAACAGTTGCTTTCAGGATTTTCTGATTTTTTTGTGGAATCCATTCTTCCATCTCTCTGTGCAATGTTTCCCCTGCCATTGGCTGTTAGACAGCCCCAAAGCATACTAGACCAACCCCCCTGCTTAACAGTCGGCAAGGTGTTCTTATCATCAAATACTTCTCCAAACATATCTTTAGTGATTGTGGCCAAAAAGTTCAATGTTTGCTTCATCGGTCTTCACAGCACTTTCAAAAATACCTCTAGCTTATCTAATTGTTGTTTTGCATACTTCACACATTGAGTTTTGTGATGAGGTCGCAGGAAAGGTTTCCTTCTGATGACTCTTCCATGCAGATGCCGTTTGAGTGAGTAATGCTGCACAGCAGTATGGTGCACCACCACTCTTGTGTCAGCTAAACCTTCCTCTATGTCCTTTACTGTCGTGCTTTGCTATCTGGCAAACATACAAGCAGTTCTATCTAACTAAGTTTCCTTGGTCTTACACTTCTTGCCTTAACGTCCACAGATCCCCTCAACTGCCTTTTCTTAATGACGTTTCTAACAGTGGAAATTGTGAGCTGGATATCTTTTTGATATTTTATTATAGCCTCCCCTGCTATGAAGGCATCATTAGCTTCATTTGCAGATCCACAGTCAGCTGTGTGGAGCATTGTTGTTGAATGTTAGCACAAGGTTTGAAGAGTCAGAGGCAGAACATTTATTACACTCTGGCATTGTCATCATCTGACAGTTTCCAATAATAAATCTTGACCTGCCTCACCTTACGAGTCAGTTAAGGCCTAAAGAGTTAAGTTCTGCGACCTTACATTTGGAGGAGTGTATGTCACATGTCACAATTACTATTCCTTCTTTTGATTTTGTTTTTTAGGCTAATCAAATATAAAGTAACTGCATTACCATTTGCAGAAAAGTGTTATTTTTTATGGCTTGCTTCTGAGGTTTGCTTCAGTGTTTATTTTTATTTTTTTAACTTTATGTAATTTGGCCCAGGCTGACTTTTACACACAGCTGTAAGTATGATTTTGCACAGTCCAGCAAATGATTTGTTAAAGAAGATATCTTGGTGTCGACACCACCATGGATACAGTATAATTATATCTTGTTTGCCAGGCAGTTGGCAATTAGTTTAATTGTGTGACCAAACAATGTTTTCCTCTCTCTTTGTGCTCTGATGGCATCCCTGTAATCAAGTATTTGTCATGGTTGTCATGCTTTGGTTTAGTGCGAATCTAAAAAAATGTTATTAACATGTGAATAGACGCTGAAGTCGTCTGGGTGACTATACTTGACCTGCTGCCAAATCTTCAGAGAGTTGAT